GGACTGAAAAGGTTGTAAAAATGCCAACCATTGATGAGGCATCTCAGTATTTCCTGAAGAGCAAGCAAGATCAGCTTGGCTACTTGATTGCCTCCACTCTGAGGATTGAGAAGGGATTGGCCACCCTGACTCAAAACCAAGAGAGCTTGGAGAGGATCATGGAGCAGAAGTTCTATGATTTAGATGTGAAGGTCACTGAGATACAGTTAGTTGTTGAGCAACTTCAGGATGAAGTGCAGGAGAAGAAGGGCAAGTCTACCACTGATGCATTTGCTAGAGTGCCCAGAAGTCAGAGATCTGCTGCAGTGCCAGTTACAGACACCAGAGCAACTTCGTCTACACCAGCAACAACTTCAGTGCCACCAGCTCCAGTAGCCACTCCATTAGCTCCATCAACCTCAACGGATGCCTTCGTCCTTGGAGTTTTATCTACACCACCACCTGAAGACCAAGCTTGAGAGTCGATCTAGCACTATGCATTTTTATGAACTTTTTGGTAACTTGTTGCCAATGGGGGAGAAAATGTATAGATCATAGGCTTTGAGAGAGAGTGTTGCTTTTTGTTCTCTCTTGTTTTTGGTGGTTGAACTTTGTTATTTGCTTGTTTGAGATACTCTATGCCTTTGGTGAGATACTTGGATGATCATGTGTTTGATCATATGCTACCTTAATGCTTGTTGGATGACATTACCCTTTTATATCTCTATATGATCATTCACTTTGCTTGGTGATGAGTGCATGTATTTAATTATTATCATTTTGAGCGCTCCACCAAGACGTATGTGACATGGAAGAGTAACCCATTATCCTAACTCATTGTGCATTTGCAGTCCAAAGCAAATCTTTAAACTATGCACAAATTTAGGGGGAGCTCTTGCTTTTCACATACTTCTCAAAGCGACAATGTTTTTCACTCTTATTATCATTTGTCGAAGCTTTGATCTATATGTTGTCATCAATTACCAAAAAGGGGGAGACTGAAAGTGCAACTATCCCTAGGTGGTTTTGGTAATTCCTAACAACATATAGCTCATTGAGCTAATGCTATTTCAAGATAAATATTTCAGGAAAGCTCAATGATTGGCATGGCATGGATGAGAAAAGTGGACCCCTCAAAATGCTAAGGACAAAAAGTTTGCTCAAGCTCAAAGCTCAAGACTACATTTTCTATTTTAGTGATTCAAGATCACATTGAGTCTATAGGAAAAGCCAATACTATCAAGGAGGGATGAGGTGTTGCTTAATGAGGTTCTTACTCAAAATGCTTAGTGATATGCTCCAAAGCGCTCAACTACTTTCTCATATCCACATATGACCTAAAACAAAAGTCAAACTCGACCCCACCGATTCTTCTTATCCGGCGCCACCGAGTTCAGTTGTCATAGCCACTGCCACAAACCCTAGGCAAATCGATCTCACCGATAGGGATCCCGGTCTCACCGAGATGGGATTGTAATCTCTTTGTTTCCCTTCGTAACGTTTCGGTCCCACCGAAATGAGCGATCGGTCCCACCGAGATTGCAATATAAATTATGTTTCCCTTTTGTAACATTTCGTTCTCACCGAAATGAGAGAATCGGTCCCACCAAGTTTACCTGACCAACTCTCTGGTTAGCTTATTACCAAAATCGGTCTCACCGAGTTTGTGTAATCGGTCTCACCGAGATTACGTTATGCCCTAACCCTAACCATATCGGTCCTACCGAGTTGCATGTCGGTCCCATCGAAAATCCTAACGGTCACTAGATTTGCTGAATCGGTCCGACCGAGTTTATCAATCCGGTCCCACCGAGATTGGCAAGTTGTGTGTAATGGTTAGATTTTGTGTGGAGGCTATATATACCCCTCCACCTCCTCTTCATTCGAGGAGAGAGCCATCAGAACGAACCTACACTTCCAACTTACATTTTCTGAGAGAGAACCACCTACACTTGTGTTGAGGCCAAGATATTCCATTCCTACCATATGAATCTTGATCTCTAGCCTTCCCCAAGTTGCTTTCCACTCAAATCTTCTTTCCACCAAATCCAAATCCTATGAGAGAGAGTTGAGTGTTGGGGAGACTATCATTTGAAGCACAAGAGCAAGAAGTTCATCATCAACACACCATTTGTTTCTTCTTGAAGAGTGGTGTCTCTTAGATTGGCTAGGTGTCACTTGGGAGCCTCCGACAAGATTATGGAGTTGAACCAAGGAGTTTGTAAGGGCAAGGAGATCGCCTACTTCGTGAAGATTTACCGCTAGTGAGACAAGTCCTTCGTGGGCGATGGCCATGGTGGGATAGACAAGGTTGCTTCTTCGTGGACCCTTCGTGGGTGGAGCCCTCCGTGGACTCGCGCAGCCGTTACCCTTCGTGGGTTGAAGTCCCCATCAACGTGGATGTACGATAGCATCACCTATCGGAACCATGACAAAAACATCCGTGTCTCTTATTGCGCTTGCACTCTCCAAACCCCTCCCTTTACATTCTTGCAAGTTGCATGCTTTACTTTCTGCTGCTCATATACCCTTTGCATGCTTGCTTGAATTGTGTTAAGATTGCTTGACTTGTCCAAAGTTGCTAAAATCTGCCAAGAACTAAAATTGAGAAAAGGATAAGTTTTTATTTGGTCAAGTAGGCTAATCACCCTCCCTCTAGACATACTTTTGATCCTACAATAACATCGCCACCGAGTCCAAGATGTTGGTCATGGACGAACATACCCGCTAAGTTCAAGGTAACATCAACATTCCTATAGTGCAACGATTGATCAAATTGAAGAACTTACTAGAAGAACATGCCACTTGGGAAGATTCTACTTCATTCAGAAGGCTTTTCCAGGATATCAGTCGAGTGGAGAAGTCTGAGCTCAAGAGGGGCCATTGTTAGGCCCCATTCCTAACGATGTTTGACGAATCCGTCACTAAGCTATGTTTAACTAAAGAAATGTAACAAATTTATTGTTCCCATCATCTCGGACTCGTTCCTGCCATCAGATCTTCTTCTAACGACAACATATCGCTTCGTCGAGCGGCTTCGGTGCACTGCAACTCTCCATTGCACATCCAACAACCAAAGATGATCTACATGTGTCCCTGTTTGAATTATGACAAGAGCTTTATAACCTCTTTTATTTTTAGTCTTGTGTTTTGCTTTTTTCATAATGTAAAGCTATAATAGCCTGGGATCCTGATAAGAAGAGAAATTTATCTTGGAATAACTTGGCGAGACTATTATAGGATTAGCCTTTCACATGATATCGTATGATCAACACCAAATTTTCATATTTAGACAATCCAAAAAATTCTAAAAAAAAGTATAACAACCTGCGGGGTATGTGTGCAGCTAAGAAAAACTCAATTCAAAACTCGATCTCAGCTTGAGATTCGAAAAAACAGATCCGACTATGAATAGTGACACCTTTGGGTGAATAATATTTGACACCATTCACATTTGATTTTATCTGTTTTGGTTCTCTAAGTGTAGTTTGAATTAGCAGCTGATACTTTTTGAGCTTGTAAATCAAACATGGATGTGTGTCTTAGTTTTTTTTCAGAATATTTGAACATATTTTGTATCTTCAAAATATTGATCTCATTGATCAGTATAAATCCTAGCCGCCATGTTCTCGCTGGCGCAGAGGTGAGAGGTGTATCTGAAATTCGTCATAGTTTCCTTACAATCATGTACCGGAGTCCACCACTTTCCGTTTTTCCTTCTGAATCTGCTGTTCTAGCCACTGTCCAGTTAGCAGATCCTGATAGCCGTCCATACTCCCAACTCCCAAGAGTACAGCGAGACATGTGAGAGAGTGAAGTCTATTTTAAACCTTGAATTTATACACCGCATCCGAATTGAACCCTAACCTTCATATCCCTGAAGTTGGCAACCTGTACTCACAGATCCCGGTCTATCTCAACCCTAAACCCGTTAAAACATGTTTGACTCGCTAGAAAAATAACGATCCCGGCCGGGATTGAACTCTACTCTGACTGAACACATGGGTCCCCATGTCATATTCATCTTCTCCACCGATTTTTTTTATCTCTCTCGCCCAACCGTGGCAGCTGTTTGACGGGCTCCCGCATTTCATGCTCAACCGCTCAAGCCCAGCCAACCGGCATACACGATCGTGCACTCGTGCTCCTCGTCGTGCCCTGCAAACCAGAGATAGAGACGGGCCGCAACGCCTCCTCCAGCAAGGACGGGGAGCTTGCTGGAGATCACGCTGAAGAGTTCAATCAATCCACGGGAGGTCGCCGGAGACCAGGAAAAAAACAGGTTTCAAGGAGTTGCTACTGGCGCCGCCGCGGAGGATGGTGTGTTGGTGACCGGCCGCGGCTGTGCGGCAAGGGAGGAGACTGCATTGACGGCGAGGACAGCGCGCGTGGCGAGCTGCTCGACCAGGAGGGCGGCAGGGGAGGGGGTGACGACGGCGTCCTTCCGGCCCCAGGTGGCGGCGAGCACGGGCACGACGTCCCTGAGCGTGGCTGCGACAAGGTTTGCTAGGCGCGCGAGCGGGACACCGACAAGTGCAGCAGGCTCCCAAGGCACGTGGTGAACGTGACGTGGAGTTTGGAGGCCGGAGCTGGCGTCGCCGCTTTCTGATGGCCCCTGGAGGTGGAGGCGGAGCCATCAACAACTCTATCGCGGCGCTGTAGGACTCGTCGAGCCCGTGTAAACTTCGATCGGCCTTTCTCCGTGCATTACACATATATACATGTACTGATCGTGCATGGGTCATCTTACCAGTGTTTACCTCTACGCCTATTAATCAGTTGACCCGACGGAGAGCATGATCTTTCTCAGGAGAGATGGAGAGATTTGGAGGAACAAGATAAATATGATCTGTGGACCCATCTATTCAGTGAGAATAGAGATTGATCCCGGCCGGGACCATCATTTTCCTAGCGAGCCAAACATCGTCTAACGGGTTAAGGGTTGAGATAGACCGGGATTAGTGAGTACAGGGTGCGGACATAAGGGATTTGGAGGTTAGGGTTCAATTCAGACGAGGCATATGAATTCAAGGTTCATAATAGACTTCACTCCATGTGAGACAGATCCCTCCTCCATGGAGCACGGCGATGGCAAAACCGCCGCCAAGCGAACCAGGCTCTCCGCCGCCGCCGGCGGAGGCATTGACGACTTCCTCAGCGCGCTGCCCGATGACTTGGTTCTCCACATCCTTCACACGCTCCGCGATTCCCCCACCGCCGCCCGAACCAGTCTCCTCTCCCGCCGCTGGCGCCGCCTCTGGGCCCTTCTCCCGCAGGTCTACTTCCCCGGATACACCGCCCCCCACCTTATAGCCCCCGCCCTCGCCGCCCATGAAGCACCGACCCTCCATCACCTCGTTGTCTTCGTCCAGGACGCCCCTGCCGAATCCATGGCGGCCTGGCTCCCAATTGCTTCACGCCGCCTCTCCGGCGATCTGTTCTTCGACAACAAGGTGCGGCAGAATGGTGGGCGGGACGAGGCCGGAGAAAGAGGGGCCTTTGAGCTGCCCTGCTTCAAGAACGCCACCTTGCTCTCGCTCCACCTGGGGTTTCTCGGCCTCGCGCCGCCGCCTACCGGTGTATTCACCCGGCTCACCAATCTCTGCCTCGTTCACTTCCGGCTACACGGTCCGTGCCAGCTCGGGGACGCCCTCTCCTCTCCGCGGTGCCCGGCCTTGCGAGAACTCACTCTCTGCGATGCCCGGGGCCTGGACAATTTCACCATACATTCGGAGTCTCTAATGACAATAAAGCTCAGGAAATTGCGTGGCCTGCAGCGCCTCACTGTTGTGGCGCCGGCACTCAAAGAGTTAACTGTCTTCTACAGCTTTGCTAATGCCCCTAATCCAAGTCAACCGGTTGCCACCATCTCAACCCCTCGGCTGGTGTCGCTTGAGTGGAGTGATGCTTATGATCCAGTCTCTGTTCAGTTTGGCAGGATGACACGTCTTCAATGGCTGGGCACAAGCTTTTATGTTGTATATGGACCAAGTGGCATTGAACACAATCGCGATTTGATGAGGCTCTTCCGGCACTTTAAGGTCATCCACAGTTTGAGACTTACACTGAATTATCAGCGGGTGAGTTCATCCTTCTCTTATTTGGAGTTATGCAGTCACTTGTAACATGCTAGCAAGTCAATAGATAAGGAAGAAAACATAGGTTTTGTAAGGAAAGGAACGTGTCATTTGGTTGATTGTGTCATTTTACAATAGCTGGTGCAAAATTCTCACTTGTGTTCGGGGTGGTACATAATCATCTAGATGATGGTGGCATTCCAGAATAGCTGGTGCAAAATTTTCACTTGTGTATCTTGCTGAGTCAGAGCTCACTGAATCTTCGTTGTTCTTCACTGTTCAATACTTAGTGGTGGAATACAAAGAACTAGAAGAATACTGCCTAGATCTTTCATATTGCCAAATTAGAGACTTTTGACAATCTAGTTCAAACCACGGATTCATCAAATTATGATTAAATATCCTCCTAAATGAGAGCTTGATAGAATGACTATCCCACACTTGCTGTATGGTATTGCACTGCTCTCTGCAAATGCAGTAAATGTCTCAGTATTGAACAGTTAATGGAGAAGACCCAAACCAGGTATCTTCCCAGAACCTGATATTCTTACCATCACCTACTGCCCACCTAGGACCAAATTTAACTGCTTTTGCAGCCCACATGACCCCTTTCCCCTTTCAAGAAAGTAGAGGCTCCCACAGAGTCACTACAAATAATGTTAGGGGAAGAAAACCAGGTATCAACTATGCTTCTCCAAATCTTTCCCTCACCAGCCATATACCTCTTAATCCAAGATCCTAAAAGACAGATGTTAAGGTTATGCAGGTTAGGTATATATACCTAAACCTCCAAATTCCTGTTTCATACATACTAGTTGCCAGTGGGCTAAATGGATCTTCTTATGGCCTTCAAAGTCATTCCATAGGCAATTAACCATTTGGGAATTGATCATATCAATAAGCCCATTTAGGTAACTTTAAGAATGAGAGAAGGTAGACAGGGATGCTAGCTAAACAAGTTCTGATCTAAATGATTCTCCCTTTATAGGATAAAAGCTTCCCTCTTCAGCCAGCTATCCTCTTAAGGATCTTGTCAATAATGGGTTGAAGGTCTTCCCTTGACAGCTTATCGAAATGCAAAGGCACACCTAGGCACTTGATTGGGAAGCACCAACAGGGCACCCAAAGATACCAGCTAAACTATCTATCTCATGAGGTTCCATATTCAGGGGAATCATTTCACTCTTATCATAGTTAATTTTCATCCCTGAGACCTGTTCAAAACAGATTAGAACCCATTTCAACTTGGTTGCTAAGACAGGGTCTCTATCTACAAACATGATAGTATCATCTGCATATTGGAGGCTAATCACCCCCAGGACACACAGAGTGGCAAAGCCCTCTGATCAGCCCAGTACTAGCATCTCTAGATAGCATCCTGAGAACAACTAAATTAAAGAGCAGAGGGGAAAGGGAACCCCCTGCCTAAGACTCTTACCAGTGACAAAGACATCACTATCAGCATAGTTCGGTTTAACACCACTTTTGTGGGTGATCTTATGGATAGGGATGCAAGCGGATGGCGTCCGCATGTCCGCGACCGTCCGTGAATAGAAAATTTACACTAACACGGCTACTTATGGATCCAACGTAACCATTTGCAACCAAATCCCCTAATTTTGAGCAACTCGTCTACGAAATCTAAATTGACCGTGTCAAAAGCTTTCTCATAACACAGCTTGAGCACTACCCCTTTATCATGTAATCTAGCTAGAGAATGGGTAGCGTCATGAACAGGTAAGACATCTATCAAGGTTACACCTTGAATGCCCCCACCGTGCCAAAAATGTTTAGACTTGATATAGAAAATCAGCATTGAGTTTTGTTTTTGTTTTTTAGAGCTGGGCTTACAATGCCCAGGTTTTGTGTAATAGAAATCCAAAGTGAACTTGTTAGCTTATAACAACCTTTTTCCATGTGCTAATCACAGTTTACAAGACCATGTGTTCTACTTCTTTTACAACTATTATATATTCCAATGTACAACCTTTTGTTTGTGACATCTTACAAATCTGCAGGACCTAAGTAACAGGCAATACTTGATGGAGGATATGACAATGCTCCCAGTCATTTCATTATTGAGCATTAGTGTAATAGCACATGGACATGCCTGTGGAGCCAGCTTATTCCATGTTCTCAGGATGTGTACCGGTGTAAGAAGGCTGATCCTAACATTAAATCCTCATACCAGTCTGGAGGTAAAGCTTTCCTTAATTGTTTATCTCATACGTGATTTCTAAGGAAGTCAGAAAAGCATGCATTTGCATTTCATGGCATGCCTTAACTTGATCTGATAGTGCCCAAATTTAGTAATGATACCCCCATGGAGACAGATAAGGTAACAGCTGAAATGAAGATGACCCAGTGGCATGGCGTAGAGGATAGGGGAGTAGGAGGACGAATGTGGGATATAGCCAATTGATAAAAGTGTCTTTATTTCTTGATTGATAATGGATACGTGTGGATGTGGTGTCCCTTATCTGGGAGGGCTTACTTGAGTACTTGACCCCCAAGTAACAATTCAAAAGATTCTAAACGATCTCTATTCCATCCTTGAGCTGCTCTGGTGGTGGTCTGGAAGACATGGTTTCTGCCGAAGGTGGCCCCACATCAATGAAGTGTGATGTTTCCGTCTTCCTGTTGTGGTCTGCCATGAAAATGGAGAGCTGAGCCCGTTCCCACTGAAGCTCGTGGGGTTGTGGTTTGTCTTCAAACTGACCTGTAGCAGGAGAATTAAACTCAGATTTGGTTGCCTTATGTATGCAATGCATGGATTAGCACCGGCCAGCACTTCTTCTGATTCGTTCCTTAAGCTCTATACTGCCATGCAAATACAAGCATACAACTGCACAAGTTGTTTTGTGCACTGTTGGACTTTCTCCTAGTTTACACATATTGAAGTCACCGTTTTGAGCTGGCCCAGTTGTTGCACTGAGGGTCTTGGAGGTTGCATTGCCTATTGTTGCTGCCGATGGGAATCAGTGCTGCCTTTTGGATGCTGCCCTCTGCGTTGGTTGTAACAACATGTGGTACTTCTATCTGATCTGCCACATCTGTTATGCTCCTCTGTTTCATATCGTCACCTCTGGGTTGGGCTTCGCCAGCGCTGCTGGAGCGATCTCCACCACAGATGAGGTTTCCCCACCCAACTTGTCCTGCGCTGCTGCTCCTTCTAGTGGCTCTGCCACTGGTGCACCCTGCTGCATTACCGTCAATGCCGCAAGATGCGTCTCTGGAGCTTCTTTGTCTGGCCACACCACTACTGATGCTGCTGGCTGCGTTTCCACGGTTTGATGCATGGCTGCACAGCTTCCGCCAAGGCTCTGTTATTGCTGCCGCTTTTAGTGGAAACACCACTGTCACTGTCGAAGGAAGAGGTCGCTCCACTGCCATTACTTGCGGTGGATTGATTCCACATGTTCCTTCTCCAAGCAAGCAAGGCGCTTCTCTACCGCGTCGGCTTTTACCTTGAAAGTTTTTATCCCATCGCAGAAAGTCGTCTCCATTAGAGGTACTGCCGCCAAAATGGGGTGTTCTGCAGAAAGCCTCGTCGTTTCACTGCCTGTTCTCTTAGCACCACCATGGCACCCGGGTACGCCACTGCTTGAAGTGACCAAGCCGTTGTTTGCCAAGGGTAGTGCCCCACCAGCACACCTTGGTATGCTGTGTCATATTACAATCACTTGCAAAAATGATACAAAATATGACCAATTTGTGTACAAAAAGACAAGCTTGTCAAAGTAGCATAACACTTTTTTTTGAATAAAAAATCACCAACTGTATTCATTAGAAACAACAAGTACATTGTTTGTGAGAAAGGTTACAATTTCATCTAATGATCTAATGGCTCCTCAAACCAATCAACAGGCAATTGGAATCTAGCTAGCCTAGCGAGCTCATGAGTGACTTTATTAGCTACTATATTACAATGCTCGAACCTAGAAATAGGAAAATCACAAGCAAAATGATAACAATCGTCAAAAACCGCCGCCGCCGCACCCGCAGATTGTCCTCCATTCTTCATGGTGTCAATGATCTCAAGTTATCAGAGTTAATCACGAGGCGGTTGCATCCCGCCCTTTGTGCTAGAGAAACCCAAATCCGAGAGCTAAAGATTCAGCCGCTAAGACATCTGCACATCAGTCCATCCTCTCATTCCCTCCCGCAATGAATTTCCCTTTGTCATCCCTCAGGACCGCCCCAACACCACCCCAACAGTACCCCTAAACATGTCTTGATCAAACGAAGCATCCACATTTAGTTTGATGAAACCATAGTTGGCTGGTTCGTGGTTCGACCATGCGTTCCCTGTCCCGGGGTCGATCGACTCGGATCGAGGGTCGGGAACGATGGCGGGTCGAGCAGGGTCGATGTATGGATCGCGACCCCGAACCTGATCGATGGTTACCGACTCAGATTGGTATGCAGGCAGCAGGACGCAAGGGAATTTCATGAGTAAATGAGTCTTACCAGGGTAAACCAGGGCACCAGGAAATCACGCTCCACCAACGGACAGAGCATCCAGAGTCCGCCCTCCCGCAATCCGTCACTAGCTTGCCGGTGGCCGGCCGGCGAGATGTCTGTTGCCGTATGCGTCCTCTCCTGTCCCAATCCCGCCAATGATGAATAAGGCGTACGCGAGCGGCGAGCCACTTGAGAATCCGGCGATGGAGGGCGGAGTCGCCATGGGAGAGTCGCAGAGATTAGCCGGAGAAAGAGAAGTGGCAGCGCAGCAGAAGGAAAATGAATGAGAAGCATAGTTTTTCTTTTCTTTTTGAGAAACTAGAAGCATAGGTTTGACAGGGCACGTTCAGATAGGTCATGTGAGAAGAAGGCTAACGGGCCTAATGGGCTAATTGTTTTATTATCCAACATTTCTGTACTAATAATTGTAATTAGTGTTGTCGACCCGGACGAGTCGACCCGGGGTCACGTCCCGCGTCCCGATCTGGCGTCCCGGATAAGCCTACCCCAATCGATCCATCGGTTTCGCCATTAGCGACCCCGTTCCTCGACCCGGTCGACCCAACTTCTTGGCAACTATGGACGAAACCCCCTTGAGAGCCAAAAATTCAACCATTAAGACATTTGCACACCAGTCCATCCTCCCATTCCCTCCCGCAATGAATTTCCCTTTATCATCCCTCAGGACCGCCCCAACAGTACCCCTAAACATGTCTTGATCAAACGAAGCATCCGCATTTAGTTTGACGAAACCCCCGGAGGCCTGGTCCAACCCCCTTTTTTCATGGAAGCATTAGGAGAAGAAGCAATAACAAAACTAGCCGTAAAGCACAGTAATCCCCATAGATATCTGGATGGCACTCTGAACTTTCTGACCAACTTACATCTTGTCCACCACAAATACCAGCCAGTAATGGCAATTTTGAATCTCCATCATGGATAAATCCTGATCGGGTAATAGGAGTAGGAATTCCAGAACCCCCTCCCCAGCATGATCAACTTCGCAGGCTCTATGAATAATTTCGTCCAGCCCCAATCTCCTCCAAACTTCCGGGACATGATACGGAAGTGTACCATGCAATGTGCGCGGAATAAAATTCTTAACCTTTCCTGGGCACGAAAGCTTCCAAATCTGCACCAAATAGGATTAGCAGTGGTCGTCCCATGCGATTGGTAATTGTTAGTTTCATTCCATGTTCATGATCCCATTCCACGAAATATGCTGATCGGACCGAAAACAAACCGTTTTTCATAAATTTGCATGCGACAAAATCTTGCATGTCATGATGAGGGAGAAAAATCTTGCATGTCATGATGAGGGAGAGGGATAGCAAGGACCCTTTGTGCATCAATAGGCTACAAGGTTTGTCTAACCAGATCTTCATCCCAATTATTAGAAACCGGATCAATAAAGTTTACCACTCGGGATAACAAATGACCCCCTTTCGGAGTGATAACTTTCCTAGTGGAACAATTTGGAATCCACGCGTGATCCCAAATAGCAATACTCTGACCATTTCCAACTCGCCAAATATATCCATTCTTCAGAGAATACCATAATACTTTGCCAAGATAACGAGGAACCCTTTTTAACTTTGTGCTCAATAAATCCCCATCAGGAAAATACTTGACTCTCAGAATAGTAGCACGTAAAGAGTCGGGGTTCTCAAAAATACGCCAGGCCTGCTTTGTCAACATCGCTAGATTGAAACAGTGGATATCTTGAAAACCAATCCGTCCTTGATTTTTTGGGAGACACATTTTCCATCAAGCCATCCAATGCATCCTTCTCTGGTTATCCTCGTCTCCCCACCAAAAATGCGCCATCGCGTCAATAATTCTTTTACATTTTTGTAGGATTTTAAAAAACGGACATTGCATAGGTGGGAATGGCTTGGACAACAGACTTGAGGAGGATCTCCTTCCCTCCAACAGATAGAAGTTTTTCCTTCCAACCACTAATTTTCTTGATAATGCGATCAATCAGATATTGGAAACAGTTAGATTTATCCATCCCTGCATGGCAGGCAAGCCTAAATATTTATCATTAAGGACCTCCGTCATGATATTCAGACTTATGCACATCTGCTCTCTCACCTCGACCCTCGTATAAGGGCTGAAAAGAATACTGGTTTTATCCACACTGACCAATTGCCCTGAAGTGGCACAGTAGGAGTCCAGGATTGACTTCGAAGTCTCAGCATTGTGCATATTGGCTTTCATGAGGATCAGTGAGTCATCAACAAAGAGAAGGTTGGTGATAGGGGGTGCATCTCTACAAACCTTCACACCCAAGATATTACCACTCTCCTCCGCATGCGTCAAGAGAGCCGTCAACCCCTCCGTACAAAGCAAGAAAAGATAGGGTGATAGAGGATCGCCCTGCCTTAAACCCCTCGTCGGCTTGAAACTCTCACTTTCTTCTGCATTAAATCTGACCCGGTATTCAACAGTGGATACATATTGCATAACAAAATTTACCCAATTCTCTGAAAACCAAGTTTCAGCATAATCTCCTTCAGGAAAGATCACTCAACCCGGTCATAAGCTTTATGCATATCAAGTTTGATAGCGCCACATGCCCTCTTTACCTTCTCTCTTGTTCTTTATTGTATGGAAGCACCCACAAGCTACCAAGACATTGTCCGTAATCATTCTTCTGGGAACAAAAGCACTCTGAGTTGGACTAATAATTTCTGGAAGAAAAGCCTTCAAATGAGTTGCCACCATTTTTGCAATAACCTTATACACCGTGTTACATAAGCTGTAGGTCTAAATGGGATACCTTTTCCGGAGAGTTGACCTTGGGAATCATCACAATCACAGTATCATTCCACCTTGGAGGGATAGTACATGTATTAACCGCCTGAAGGACCTCCTCAACCAGATCATCCCCTAGCCTGGGCCAAAGTCTTTTATAAAAAATAGCATGGAATCCATCCGGACCCGGCGCTTTTAAATCATCAATAGCAAAAAGAGCCCTTCGAACATCCTCGGTAGTGTATGGAGCAAGAAGGGTATTGTTCATTTCAGCCGATACTCTTCTCCGGACTAGGGCAAGGATCTTCTGATTTGGTTGCAAGACTTATGAAGTGAATAGTTTTAAAAAATATTTCTTGATATGGTCCTTCAACTCCGTACCTTGTCTCCAAAATCCCTGAGTGATCAAGAAGCTTCTTAATATTATTCCTCTTTTTTCTAGCCGTAGTCGCATTGTGAAAAAAAGATGCACTGCGATCCCCATGCATCAACCAATTGGCGCGACCTCTCTGAATCCAGAAAATCTCTTCCTGGTCCAGAAGATTCTCAATAAGAACCAAAATCTCCTTTTGCCGTGAACGGGATTCAGCGTCCAAAGGACCACGTCTTAGCCTCTCCAATTCCTTTTTTAATTTGTCAATCTTCATTTCTGACCCTTAACGTGTCTCAGTCCCAAGAGTGTAAATCTGTGTGCACAGCACGTGTACGCGCCGCGAGAGACGGGCCAATGCCAGCCATCTTGGCCTTCTCCCTGTTGACGTATAAATGTATTGCCTAGTCTCTTCCATCAGATCGGTCTTTTATTTGCATTGGCTAGAGCATGCACTTCTACATGGTATCAGAGCCAAGAGGTCTTGAGTTCAAGACCCGGCTGGCGCAATTAAATAGCAGCCCACTTTCGGTCCACGTTTAGGCCTGAGGGAGCCACACGTGAGGGGGAGTGTTGACGTATAAATGTATTGCCTAGTCTCTTTCATCAGATCGGTCTTTTGATTGCATTGACTAGAGCATGCACTTCTACACTCCCAAGCCGACTTCACAATCCCCTCAATTGTTTCTTCTTTTGTTAGTCAACTAGTTTCAATAAAATTCATACGGCTCTTTGAACGACTAAACATATTATTGTCATATAATAATTAATATCCAGAATCAGGGGCGATGGTCAGAGTGTACATGTTCCTCATTAATGATCGCAGCATGAGGAAATTTATAGTCCCACGCAGTACAAACCACCCTGTCCAGTCTTTCCCTGATATTCCCTCTCCTCCAAGTAAAGGGGTCGCCAATATAACCCATATCATCATCTAAACAACACTCAGCAAGACAATCTCTGAACTCAATCTCTGAACTCTTTCATCATTTCATTGGGTCTCACATTTCCACCTTCTTTTTCTGAGGAGTAAAGAATTTCATTAAAATCTCCTAAAACCACCCAAGGGTGAGCTCCCTTATTATGCAAATTACGAATATCATCCCATGACATATGACGATAAATATGGCAGACTGTTGGAAATGCATGGCTGTGGATGTGAAGTTAAGTGAGTTATTGCATGACAGGCCCGATCTCGAGTTTAAGGCAAAGATATGAATCAGTCAGTCTATAACACTGCTAGAGCTAGGAGTTAGGACATACTATGTGTTCTATTAAAGCTTGATGCCTATTTTCTGTAAAGGTTCCATGAGCATCAGAGGCAAATTAGGCATTCATCTTATTCTGTGTTTGTTTATAGAAAGTTTTGATGTATGTTTTGTTGGTGGCATATCTTGAAGAATTCAGGCAGTCTGAACACATTTCTGATTTTTTGTTCTTTTGTATAATAAATCGCTACTAACCTGATACACTCCCCGTTTCAGGTACAAACATGTCCACTAGGTTGCATATGTGATCAGCCACTAAACTGGAGATCTGAGGAGCTGGTGCTGGATTGCCTCGAAGATGTAGAAATCAGAGGGCTGAGAGGAACCGAATGGGAAGTAGCTCTGGTGGAACGGTTATTCGGCTGGTCTACAGCACTAAAGACGGTGAATATAACTTTCTTCCGTTTAATGACTGAAAGCAGGGCCAAGGAGTTGCGCCAGATGTTACTACGCTTCTCCAGTCCAGACACATGTATGACATTTTAGGTGTATACCGCGGAGTGCGGCTAATCTGCACCCGGGCTCATCTGCACCCACACTTAGAAAAAATTCAAAAAAAATACTAGAAAAATTCAAAAAATTCCAATTTTTTTTGTGGTGGTAGATAATATGACGCGCGAGGTGCGCCCCAAAAATCAGCTCATTTGAGCATCTGAGCAGCTCTCGGCAAAAAAGACAAAATCAGGGTCTGTAAAAATGTTTACTGTTCACGCACTGCTTTGACCCGATTTGTCTTTTTTGCCGAGAGCTGCTCAGATGTCCAAATGAGTTGAATTTTTGGGCACACCTCACGCGTCAAATTATCTACCACCACAAAAAAATTTGGAATTTTTTGAATTTTTCTAGTATTTTTTTTGAATTTTTTGCTGAGAGGGAGCAGATGAGCCCAGGCACCGTTTTGAGTTTTCCGTTCTTGTTCAGTACGTTGTAGAAGACAAATTGAGCTCCAGGCGTGCAAGATCCGGCTGTTGCCATGCGCAAGAGTGGCGATGCATTTTTCTTGTGAGATGGTGAATAATTTGCTGGGATTTGTGTAGAACAGCTCGGTACTTGTTAGGGAGTTCTTGAATCGGATGTTGAGACTTAACTCGGGTATGGGTTTTTATCTATCTTGTCACAAAGTACCCCCTTGGAGACCACAACCACAGCAGGGTTGGGAAGCAGCGAGAGCCGCGACGGAAATGGCGACGGCCCTCGTGCGGTGTAGCCGTGCGGCCGCCGCCGGCTTGATCTCATTGCTCTGGCCTGCTCCGCGTTCGGCGAGCCCAGATCCGGCACCCCCGTGACGTGCTCTCTCCTCTCCACTAGTCTCCCTCTCCCTTCGTTCGCCCGCCATGGCTACCCACGCTTCGGTGTCGGCGGCCGCCGCGGCCTCTCTGGCACCTCCTGCCGGTGGCCTCCTCGCATCGTCGATGGCGGCCGCTCTGGCATCTCTGACGCCTCTTGCCGGGGCCACCACCGCTACAACGAGGGAGGCCTCCCCGGTCTCTCTGGCTCCTTCTGCCGGTGCCACCACCGCTACGATGACGGAGGCCGCCTCAGCTCGTCTGCCGCTGCCCTCTGTGGATGGCGCCGCTGCGGCCTTTCTTGCCTCCTGCGAGGCCGAGAGGTTGGCCAGTTCCAATCTGGGCCCGGCGACTCCGACGCCTACCACGCCGCCCGTCAATGCTGCTGGAGACAATGGTCTTCGTGGAGCTTTCTCTGTTGGCCCCGATTCAGACGAGGATGACGACGAGGAGGTGGCCCCCCAGACGCCGCCGGCTGCCGCCAAGGTCATCGACTTCGTCGAGGTGCGTGTGGGGCACGTGCCAGACATAGAAGGGGGCTGGCAGGAGGTTCTACCGCGGCATGGATCGCGCCGTCCGTGGTCGCTATCCCCAACATCTGCTCGCCGTTCAATCCCCGCTTGGATCCATGGTAGATGTTGTCGTTGCCTCGCTCCTGGGCACCGAGCCATGGATTGCAGAGATCCGTTCAGGTGCTCCCGTTGCCTTGGGAATGGTCATCGTGCGCGTGGATGTCGCAATGCTTCGCGCCCACTCAGCCTGTTGGCAACCTCTGCCATATCGTCACCACACCGCCTCGTCTCTCAGCATTGTCAAGCCCAAGCTCCTGCTCCACAACATGCCCATTCCAAAGGAATTCAACGTCATTCTTGGGCAGTGGTTGTTGCTTCTGCCCCCACTATCTCGGCGTCCTCGAGTTTTGCAACCCAGCAGCCTAGTTTTGCAGCGCAAGCCGAGTTATTGCGCTCTGAACTACAAGGCTTAGCGTCGCTTTAGCTGAAGGAGGCGGTGCAACCTCTACGTGATGTCGTGAATCGCTGCAAGGTTGGCTGCTTCGATTTGGGAGCTTTATGGAATGTGCGGAAGTTGTTCTAGACAGGCTCTCTATTGCTTTGATTGCGAAGCAAACCGCCCCTGCATCGTCTCCTATGGTCGATCTTGATGTTGGAGTTGTTGATGGGAGTGATATGGAGCTCTATGGTTGCTTTTCGCCTCGTTCCAAAGCCAGTTCGCCGTCACTTCATGCTCTACCCGCCGCTCATGTTGACTCCGTGGGAGAGGCCACTTCCGTGGTCTTGGCCCCGGTGATGCAGACCATGCCTGAGCTTCAGGGGATGTTTGAGGAACCAATTTCCCCGCTACTTGGGGAATTGTTGGTGCCTGTGGCTCCTGCTCCAACCACCTTGGAGCTTAGCCAAGTGCCAACTGAGGTGCTGGATGGTGTGCCCATCTTGAACTTGGGTCTTGCAGAGGCTCGTGCGAGTTTCTGTGATGAAAATCTTTCCACCTTGTCTATGTCTGGACCCATCAGGTCGGTGATGCCTGAAGTTAAGGAGGTTGATGCGGCCGTTGTCTTGATGCATGCTAGTGGCAGTTGCTTAGTTGATGAGAACTACACCAAAAACTACAATGAGTTCTACAATTTCTTTGACAAATGGGCGTCTGATCACCCTGTGTCTAGCAAGACTGTTACTGGCGTGATGAAGGAGAAACCTGAGAAGAACATTGGGCAAGTGGTGTCTGTGGGTTATGAGGTTGATATAGCAAGTGTGTCGACAACTAATTCTGAGGCTCTGTTTGCGAAAGAGATCTATGACTTGCTTGCTAGTTTGGAAGTGGCTAGCCCCGGATCTGGCAAGGCGATTGCTTGCATCCCGACGAACAAGGCTACAACGGGCAAAATCGAGAAGGTGGAAAGCTCTTAGGAGCATAGGCAAGAAGTATGGCGCCGTAGGAAAGGCGTCCGCCGCTGCTTAAATGGATGATCTCAAATGTCTTCGACCGTCCCCATGGTGGTGTCCATTGTCTTCAGTCGAGGTGTTCCTGTTGGGTGTTCCATTGTGTTTTAAAAGTGTGAGGGTTTGTTGTTGTGCATTGGTTATGTCTATTGGATCGATCGTGCGGTTGTGGTGTTCCATACTTTGTGAGTAGTTCGCATGTGTTGTATTGATTTTTGCCCGGTTTTCCATAATTAATTGGGCAATTCTCTTCTTCTTAATTAATCGATGAGGCAAAACTTTTGCATACGTTAAAAAAAAGTACCCCCTTCGTCCCATGATGTTACATCCAATATGGATGTAAGGGCATCTCCAAGGTGGACCTACAAATCTCCCGCAATTGTTCGGGCCGCACTGTCCGGACCGTGGAATCCATCCAACATGGACTCGTATGTCAGGCCTGCTATATACTGAAGATACATCTTCAGTTGACTGTAGCTTATCTAGAAAATACCGGTTCAGTTATCGGACAGTTCTGGTAGCTCTTCAAGTTACTTTCATCGCTAGCCGTTAGATACGATTTACTGTTCAGACAAGTTAGCGTCAGGAGGAGTAACTTGCTCACCTATAAAGCGGCCGGGTTGTGGCTTAGCTGATAGGATTTTTCCCCAATTCGCCTGATGGCAGAAACCTAAACATATACAGCGACGCAGACAGATCAATACAACACCTAGATCAGGGTCTCTTTCCTTGCAAATTCTCTCTGATTTCTTCTCCTACACCTCAAATCATAGCTAGGTCCTGACAAATTGGTATTCAGAGCTAGTCTATTCTTTGGCCACAAAATTTTAGTACAGAGAGAGATTATTCCCACCCAATTTCCCTTCCTATGTCGCGATTTGAGCCGATCTGAGCCGGGAGGCGCTGGTGGCGGCGATCTGCACCAGGACGGCGCGAGTGGTGGCGGTCTGCACCAGGGCGGCGTGGTGGTGGTGATCCGCACCAGGGCAGCGTGGTGGCGGTGATCTGCACTAGGGCGACATTGGTGGCGGCGATCCGTTTGGCTGCAAATCAGTAGCGCGGAGTGGTTGCTGGAGATCCCTTCTCTAGTGGTAAAATTCCATGTCTATCGCTGGTTCGTGCAGCTTGGGTGGAGCGGAGCGAGAAGGCGGCAGGATCTGTGTAGAGAGCCTGGTTACCAGTTGAATCTGGCAGTAAAATTCCCTCTCTCTTACTCAGATCAGGGTGATGGGGCATGCTAAAACGATCGATGAGGCCGATCTCCAGGAGGTTCTCTCATTACGTGATGATTTTGGTGTTCTTCAGAGGGATAGTGCAGGGCTGCGAATAGATGTAACTAAATTGCAAGAGGATGTACACTCGATCAGTTCAAAGCAAGATGACATATCACTGCAAGTGGGAGGAGTCGAGAAAGCTGTTTTGGAGTTGGGCAAGCAACTATCAGCCATGAGTGCAGTGTTGAAGAATATTGTGGCCCCTTCAAGTTCAGCAAATCAAGGTACAATGCACACTGATCCTGATCCAGTGGTAAAATCCCCAACACTGCAACAAATACCGCAGCAACAACAACTCAGAGCTGAACAACTGAGACAACAACTAGAAGCTGAAAGAGAGAAAACGAGACAGTTAGAAGATCTGCAGACGCACAACTTACCTCCCATCAGAACTCACAGGACCAATGGCCCACCTGGTTTTGTTCATCAAGCAAACCAGGAAACAACTAGTATGATTGGAACCCCAGTCACTCAGAGGAGAGGAGTACATACACCTGCATTTCAACAACCAACAAGAGACAAGCAACTCTAGCAAGGTTATTTCAGAACATACGAGCATGATATGCAAGTCCAGTTCATGAAATCAATGACAAAAGGACCTAAAATGGATTTTCCCAGATTTTTGGGTGAAGATCCTGTTGGCTGGATCAGACAGTGTAACAAGTATTTCCAGATGGCAGGTGCTCCTGAAGAATATAAAGTGTCATTGTCACAAATGTACATGACAGGTGAGGCTGATGTATGGCTGAGAAGATCTGGTCTCCTAAAGAAGCAATTAACTTGAAAGAGTTTGGCAAGGAAATTGTTAAGAGATTTTCCTCTCAGAGCTCCTATGATCTAACTGAAAAGTTTAATACACTGAAACAAAGCAACAATACAGTGTCAGATTATACTAAACTCTTTGAGGATTTAATGTCAAAAATGTAAGAAGAAAATCCTGCCCTATCTGAAGAGTGGTTTGTGAGGTG